CTTATCAGATGAAATACATATGAAAGTTTTCATATGTAAAACAATGGCATTTTGCCTGAAAGTACTTAAAAATACCCCAGTGAAATAAAAAAAAATATTTTTAAGTGAGGAATTGATAAAATCAAATTGTTAAAATATTGATAATTGATAATATGACTATATGGGCAATAGTCAGTAGGTGTAAGCAGTAAACGTTTCCATTCTGTTAAAAATTTAATCATTTGATTTTTAGCTCTCTAGCTAAATACACCATAGAAAGAAAAGATTGCATGTAGCAAGCTCAAACTTACTATAGGTAAATGTCAATGTGTTATTTGAAAACATGAACTTCAAGAACTTTGAGGAGTATTCATAACCTGCTTCCTTTTATTGTTGAAGCCCAGGGTATTTCTAAGGGCATGGCTTCCCACATCATTCTAAGTTAGTCCTAGGAGAAATGGATCTTTCCCTCCTCTCTGATACCATGCCTCACGTTATCATCATCCATGTCCTTCTGTGTTTCTCTCACTGAATTATAAACATGCGAGGTCAAGATCTGGCTCTACCCACATAGCCTGGAACACAGTATATCCTGTAATTCAATAATCCTTTACTGAATTCTGTGATCTCCTTTACACAAGTTCAATTTATACCGAAAACTTGTGGGACTACATCATGATGTCAAGTAAAGATGGCATCAATGCACACGAGTCCAAGGTGGCAGTGATAAAAACCAGTATAGGGGCGCCTGGGTGGCTTAGTCGGTTAAGCGTCCGACTTTCGCTTAGGTCATGATCTCGCGGTTCGTGGGTTCCGGCCCGGCGTCGGGCTCTGTGCTGACTGCCAGCTCGGAGCCTGGAGCCTGTTTCGGAGTCTGTGACTCCCTCTCTCTCTGATCCTCCCCTGCTCACGCTGTCTCTCTCTCTCTCCTAGAAATAAATAAAGCTTTAAAAAAAAAAAAAAAAAAAACAGTATAAAAGGACTAGCCCTCTTAGGCTAAATGGTGAGGACATCTGAATTTGTCTTCAGAGTTCCTCTCCCTCTGTATCAGCTGTGAACCCCTTTAGTTCATCATCTTATCCTTCTTCCATGGGATTAAGAACGGATAAATTTCACCTGCTTATATTGATGTAATAAAGAATGTGAAGCATCTGATTAATTTTTTTTTATCATTTGAAAGTCAAACCTGACTTAAAGGAAATGCCATTAAATGATAACAATTTGAGCTACTATTGATGGAATAAGGTCCTTGAAAAAATTTTAGTGAATAAATTTTTTGAAAAATTTTCACTATCCATGGAAGGATGCTGGCTTAAAATTCATAGAATATTACAACTGAGAAGGCCTTGTGGTACTTTCTGATTTCACACCTTTAGACTAGGGAAGATTACATGATTTTATTAATAAACTAATAACAGATGACTTATTGAGTACCTATTACATTGGGTACTGAGCAAGACCCTTAGGAACACAAAGATGACTACAAGACCAAAACCTGCTCACAATGAGTTCCCATGTTCCCAGGCACGTGACCTCTGAGCTGAAGAGAATTATGGCCCACGTCTTCCGCATTATCTGTAGAATCTGGGCACTTAGAGAAAATGTATTTCAAAAATCTCCCTGATGAACGTATTAGTATTCATGGGGCCCTCATGACTCTCCGTAGGTCCTATTGTTGTGGGACACATGCCATCTGAAAAGAAATAACCTCCTGAAGGGCAAACGTTTTAAATCTAAATAGTACCCTTTCTTTTTGAAATTTTAATTTTTGGAACTTAATATAGAGTCTACTGTTACCAGAACGACCACATCCACCAAAAACTATTTTAACGTAGCTATAGAGTCCCAAAAGGATAATGAGTTCTTACAGAGTTTGCCTAGTTATGGAGAGGAAATCGTTAGTAACTTAAGACAGAAATAAAGAAATCATCTAATTAATGTATTCAGAGATGAATCTTAATGTCCAATTATTCTCTTGATTTGACACAACCTAGTAACAACATAACACAGTCAGCAACATTGTATTAATGTTGTAAGAATTAAAGGGAAGGTGGCCAAGTGGGGGTGGGTGAGATTTTTTTAATCCTTCCTTTTTCTCTTCTTCTAACATACAATAAGCAAATCTCCTGTTCATCTTATTTAAAAAAAGAAAAACAAGTAAAACCACAAAATTAACTTGTGCTGAAAAGTCAGAATTCTATTATAATTGAAGCTTATAAAACATCATTTAAACAAAGGTCTGCCTGTTCATTAAATATTAACAAATGATTTTCCTACCATTCAATACAGTCTCTTAGTTCAGCTTCATGGATTGATTTAACCATTGTCTATTTAAACATATAAAATTCCCATAGTTTGTAATTGGGCCAATATTAACTGCCACTCAGAGTAAGAAGTTAAATTGCCAATATTATGTCCATATTTACACTTCCATTTCCTAAAGGGTGCAAAGCAGAGATTTTTTTCAATATTTGAGTGTTTTTGATTACATACTACACAGTAATTTTTTTTTTGTAATTGAGAGTGTACAGAGGTATTACAGCACAATCTATACCCACCTCTAACCTCCACTCTCCCAGTTCTCTACCAAAAAACAAACAAACAAACAAACAAAAAAAACCAACAACCTTCTCTCTACTTGTTTTAAGTTCTTCCAAAATTAAAACATCCTGTTTGGGGGCAGCTGGGTGGCTCAGATGGTTAAACAACCAGCTCTTGATTTTGGCTCAGGTCATGATCTTGCTACTTCGTGGGATCAAGTCTCATGTGGGCTCTGCGTGCTGACCGTGTGGAGCCTGCTTGGGTTTTTCTGTCTCCTTCCCTCTCTGCCCTTCCCTTCCCCACTCATGCTCTCCCTCTCTCTCTCTCTCTCAAAATCATTAAGTAAACAAACTTTAAAAATAAAACAAAATGCCTTATGTTTGAAATATTAATAATTTATAAAGCACAATATCCATTATCAATAACTAGCATGTTTTAAGGTCTTTAACCACATCACACTTCACTTCATTAAAACACTATAAAACCAAATAAATGTGTTAAGCAAATAAATTTCAGAAGAGGAATTCAGGAGTGTTTTAAAGTTTTTCAAAGGTAAACTTATATTCTCTGGTTATTTTTATATTCAGCCAAGTGTCATTGTTCTATGAAATATTCTCACATTGCTTAGTTAAATAATCCCTCTCTATGTTCTCTCCTTCCTGAACACTTCTCAATGATTTTTCCTTCCCCATCATTAAAGTTTTGAGCAAATGTCTATGTGCTTTGGTCCACCAATCTGTTTTTTGTAGCTTGCCATTCTATTCTGACTATTCAGACTCATAAGTGTGTTTGAAATGACTGATGTGTAAGTAAATGGCTGAATACTCTGTCTATCCATTAAGAAATAGCACTGAGCTTGCAATATATGCAACATCCCATTCTAGGCACCAGATTGGATACTAAGAGATACAATGGCATCCCAAAGTATACATTAGACAAGGGATCTGATCTCAAGAAGCATAGAATCTAATTGAAGAGATACAGTGCATGCAGATGACATACATGTAGAACTGTTGTTAGTAATTATTGGACAATAAAAAATGTGAGGATTCAAAGGAGAGGAAATGACCACGGTGGACTAATCGTCTACTAATAGTAGACTAATTGTCAAGAAGAGTCATTTTTTTTTCTTTTTAGGAAAACAGGTTTAAAATAGGCCTCAAAAAATATGTGTAAGCATCAGACACACATTAAAAAACTAACAGAATAGTATGCCCAAAGTCATGAGATGGAAACCTAGCAGCTTATATAAAAGACAGTGAGTGAGCAGTGTATCTGTAGTAAAAAAAATAATAAATGGGGGTATGGGAAATCAGGTTAGAAAAGCAGCTTGGGATTATATTATAGACCCTAGAAAGCCAAGCTAAGGAATGTAGTCATTAAATGTCAGTGGGGTACAGTTAGCGATGATGTTTGATGAAATGACATAAAAAATGATGTTTTATAAAGATTAGTCTTGGGGATTCAACTTCTTCTGTTCACTCGGGCTTTCATTTATTCAACAAATATGGATTCAAAACCTAGAATCCCCAGGCATTGTACTGCAAATAGAAACAAAGACAAGAAAGACACCCTAAAGGTATGTTTATTCTAGAGGCAGAAATCAAGCAGTAAGTGCCATATGTTACGATACGTGGCCTAGTGCAGCACCACCCTGAATGTGGGTGATGTCCAAAAGAAAGACATTCATGTAATACTTGTGACCATGAGAAAGCTCCAGGCAGAGCCAGTTCTAGAACTGCAACTTGATGGATCAGTATGAGTTAACAATGTGAACTTGGAGAAAAAGAAGCAATGAACACATTTCAGGCACACGGGAACAAGTCATGCAAGGATACAAAAGCATAGCACAGGAAAAGCCATCTCTTTGTCGACCTATGTCATGTGCCCCTGGCCCAGCTGTGGCTTCAGTAGCCGCTGTGATACACAACTCTGCACAAACCCATTCAGGGACTTCTCTGAAGTTCTAGAAGCCCCCGCACAAATGCCGCTGAAGCATTGGGGGATTACACCCAATGGCATCCTTCAACCAGTGGATGAATGGGGGTTGGCCTCTTGTCCTGATAATTCTGGGAGTGTTAGAGGCTTCTCAGAGGTCCCAAGGAAGGAAGCCCTGTTAAAGGGACTTCAATGACATACCCTGACAAAAAACATCCCATCTCACTCCTCCTTCCTCATTTAACCATACAAGTAAACTTTCTGCCACCAAGCCCTTGCCTAAGGCTCTGCATTTAGTAAAACCTAAATAGAGATAAAAAGTAATTTATTCAAAGTGCCTGTGGAGAAATGTGGGTAGTGACAAGAGGGGTCAGGGGGTACAGGGAAGAAGAAACTACTAATTTTGAAACTAGAGAGTGCTTTGGGTTTCATATTTAAAAGCTTGAATTTTACCTAAAAGATTATAGGAAGTCATTAAATGATTTGGAACAAGACAGTAACATGATCCAGCTTTTTGTCTTACAGAAATCTCCCTGGCAATGTGTAAGGAGAATGAATTGAACATCCTAACCTGGGAACTGGGAGGCTGCCTTAAAGACATTGTACTTCGATCCAGGTAACATACCTTAAGTATTCAAGGAATTAATTGTAGGGGTAAATATGCAAGGTAAAAGCCACCTGTTTTTAGTTGTTGTTGGAAATATGGAGTGAGAGAGAGGAGAGTGTCTAGCTTAGGATCTTACCGGAGTAGCCATAGCATTCATCCAGCGACAGAACCCCGCCATAGCAGACTACTAGGAGAGGGGTGGGATGCATTTATTCTTTGCCATGTTGACACCGAAGACTTGGGGTACAATTCATAGGGAGAGATAGGTAGGTAGGTTTTTATTTCTTGATAGATATCCGGAGTGCAGACATAGGCATATGTTGAACTGGCTTATGTCAGACACTGTGATACATTCTTACAAATATGTGTTTTTTCACTTAAACTTCATAGCAGTCCTAAAATGTGAAGATTATTTTCATGAGTTCAAATTTGAGAAAACAGATTCAGAGAGATCACTTAATTTGTTTAGGATTACAAAACAGGTGAATAGTGGTGACAGAATTCAAACTTGGGCCCGATTACCTGCATACTGTTTTTATATTAACCCCCCCCCCCGACATACACACATTGCCTGTACTATCATCTTCATCTCAAAATGTCTGTGTGTTATAGAGCTATAGTTTTCAAACATAGCAGATGATAAGGTAACTGGTCCCACAGGACTCACACCTGAACTATAATGGTTCACACCCTGCTGAACCATTGAGCTAATCTATTACCCTACCTGCACCCAACTCATGCTTTATATTGCTGTCATAGTGTTAGAAATTGTTTTAACTGATATGTTGGAAGTCCCAATGTGATATATTATTTTTGTGAGTTTACAAAGCATGTCACCAGTTATCATTTAAAAGCAAGGAAAGAACAAAAGTGCTCATTTTAAGTAATACACTCAAGATCAACAGGATGAAGGAAGGGAAAAGATAAGTGTATAACAGCACAGAGTGGTAGGTGGTTATTGTCATTGGAATGCTTCACAGAACAGATGGGCTCCTAAGAGTAAAAGGGTGAAGTATCCTGTGGCGTGTTCAAGAGAACGCAGTTCCGGGTATAGAGTAATGGTTTGGAAGAACACACATGCGGCTCTGAGTGGGCGAAGATTCAAGGCCGTGATTGTACAGAAAAGCTCAGATATAAATGTACTAAGACTCAAGGTTTAATAAGTAATAGAGAAATAGAGTAACATCAATTATACGTGTATACATATGGACATGCATATATATACATTTCTATACGAGGGACAAGGGAAGCTTGCAGTAATAAACACAGGCTGCCAAAGACATAGTAACAAAATACTCAGTTTGAAAGAGCTCTGAGAGAGCATCCTACCTCACAATGCTGACTTCCACCCTTGTTTTGCTAAAGAAGAAATAAGTGGAAATGTTAAGTGATTCTTTTCAAGATTTAGATCCATGAATGGGCTGGACATTTATGGAACATATACCTGTCTAGCATTATAGTAGACTCTGTATTTTAATACATATACAATAGGAACACTTCCTTCAAGCATCTATCAATATACAATTCTATCTTAAAAGAGAGTCTTTTAATATTCACGAGACAATAGGCTCACTAAAGAGATGTTGCAAGACCCATTGAATGTGTAAGATTTTCATTAAGGTCTTAAGTTTTTATTATGATTTTAATCACTCATGTGAAGTTAATCAATGGCCTATATGTCAAGGCCACACACCTGCAGGATTAATATTTGTAGAACCTCCATGTTCTACATAATTATAACTCTCTTTAATGGAAGTATCCTCCAGTTTCATAATCATTTGGATACAAAGCAAGATATTAATAGTTGGACAGTTCTTAATTTCCCCATACATCTGGTGGTTCTCAGATTCTAGGAAACACCAGAAACACCTGGAGGGCTTGTCAAAACACAGACCACCGGGCCTCACCCCAGAGTTTACAATTCAGTTGGTCTGGCAAAGGCCTAGAAAATCAGCCTTTCTCGCAAGTTCCCAGTAATGCTGATGGTGTTCTTTCGGAGACCTTCCTTTGAGAACCACTGCATTCATTAGCCCATGAATACCTTGTGGACAGAAACTCTGTCTCACTCACTTCTGTCTGTCTCACTCACTTCTGTTTGCTCACTGTCTGCGCTATAGTAGAATCTCAACAAATGTTACTGGGAATGAGTGAATGAGAAAATGATTACATAAATGATGTAACTAAAAATTTTAACGAATTTGGGCTATTAACTGCCCAGTTCAAGAGTCTTCTTGTTACTCCCACTTATAAGGAAATTAATAAATCAAGAAAATATTAAGTAATTGCTGCCCCATTTGCTGAAAATGGAAAAGCTGAACTCTGTGTTGTCATGGATACAGTATTCTATTTTCAGTACTAGTCGTGTCCTACTTGTTAATGACTGTTACAGTAACCAATGGGAAAATAACACTTCACTCACCACATTTCATTAAATTTAACACCTCATATTAAGCTTAATGGGACAATAAGAACAAAGTTCTGCTTGCCAATTGTTTACTGAATTCCACCATTTCCATGTAGTTAGTGACTTGCCCAGCATCAGTCTTTATGAACAGCTCCCCAAATCAAAAGAAGATAGGAAAATAAAAGCTTTCTATTTGCCTTAACAATAATGACCTCTGGGCCGGACATTTCCTGACATTTAACCAATTGCTGAATTAAAAGACTCTACTGTCTTTGATTCAGGGTCTCTGCTTCTACCATAGATTATTACCTCGCAGGAAATGCCCTTACTTTCCAACATTATAAATTTAACAGAAGAGAAAGCAAAATACTATGAAATCTGAGCCTGGACCTTCAAATCCTTGCATTATACAGTAGTAAATGCAAATATGGGAGGAGCAGAGACAAAATTGTTTAACTTGAATAAAATTCTTCACAGTTTGATCTTCATGCCAATCACAATGCAATAATCACCTCCATCCCTGAAATCTGAAGTCATGTTACTTTATTTTCAAGGAAAATTGCTCTGTGAGAGTAAGAGCTCCATGATGCCTAGGGAGGGAACCGATTATAAACAAACAGTCCAGCCTCCACAAGAAAAAAAAAAAAGATAATTAAATACATTTAATGATGCACACATCTGAGCAAAAGATCAAGGAAATATTGGAAAATATAACATCATTTAGAAGTCAAGGGAAATAAATGGAGAAGGAGAAAAGGACAGATAACTCAGAGGGACTGAATAAATCTCAGATAGGATATAAAAGACTGGAAACAGATGTTTATATTAAACTGCCAATGGAGTGATGAAACCATACAGATTGTGGTACCAATTTAACTGGAAAAAGCTATGGCGAGCAGACAGAGATCTGAGTTGGAGCTCTATTTTCCACCAGTCAACTAAAAGACGTGGCTGCTGCCGCTACTGTTAATGATGAATACCATATGCGAGCAAGAGACACAGCCAGTGCGCTCTGCTGTGTGTGTTGGTTTGGGAAGATATGTGTCATTTTCTTTATCTGATACAAAATTAGTGCAATTTCAAATAACTGCATGCAGACTGCCTGAAGAAGAGCCCATATTGCTTCTCATTGAAAAGTCAAGAGTGAGTCACTTAAATTTTTTTTTCATTTCGATTCACTAACTCAGTTAAAGTAATTTTACCTGATTTAGCCAAGATACTGCCCTAATTGTCTATTTTATTTTTATAGTGGAGAGGAAGTCTACAACTGAATAACCATGTAGTCAAGTAGTCAATAGGATATTGGACAAAATAATAACACAATTGCTGCTTACAGTCTTCTTTAACAGAGCAGGTAAGTGTCCATGTACGTACATTCCAACAGTTGACTTAGTGTATCAGCAAAGAATCCAAACTTTATCTTCTTGTCATAAATTGGGTTTCATATTTTAACATGTCAATTCCTCAGTTTAAAAAAACCTTCAGGTATGCCTGGGTGGCTCAGTCAGTTAAGCTTCTAACTTCAACTCAGCTCACAATCTCACAGTTCGTGGGTTCAGGCCCCGCATCGGGCTCTGTGCTGACAGCTCAGAGCCTGGAACCTGCTGCAGATTCTGTGTCTCCCTCTCTCTCTCCCTGCTTCTCTCCCACTTGTGCTCTCTCTCTCACTCTCAGAAATGAATAAACACTGAAAATTTAAAAAAAAATCTTCAAAAAAATCCTAGAATTGGCAATTTAGGGTTTGTTTGTTATTTTCTTTAAGGGAACACTGGTCCAAACCCAAGGTTAAAACAAACAAATGGTCAAGATAGAAAAAAATAAAAGGACAACTAAGAGAAACCGTGTATAAGTGAAAACAGCTTTCACTGCTTTAATTCTGAGGCAAATACTTAATCTGATCAATTCAACAGGAAAAAGAAATGAAAACCCTGGTTATTTTTTTATATTTGACATGACTGCGATTTGAATTTTTTATGCCCACATCACTCTATTAATGTTATATAGACACACTCTAAATGTTCTCTTCTTTTTTCCTCCAAAACTTATTAAAATATGGAGAAGAGAAAGGGAGAGCCACAGAACAACTTTAAAAATATTTTGGTAGTCCTCATTAAAAAGAGTTTAAGTACCTTGGATTTTATTTTATTACATGGTCATAAAATTTAGCCAGAGGAGAGATGTTCTATCTGAAACTCAAAGGCCAAATATAAGTGCCACTAACTAATAACCAATGAGCCTTTGACCAAGCAGACTTGGAGCTGACAAAGCCTGCTGTCCCAGAAAACCATCTGCACTACTTAAGCTACTGCCTTTCTTTTGAAACAACCTCTGTGTTACCATCTGAAGTTCCTTTTGTACCCAATGTTATGGAAAAACAACAACAACAACAACAATACTGTGAGCCAAAGAGTAACGAATAGCATCAGATAAACATTGATATGCTATGCCTACTGACCTATTCTGAAAAACAAAATGACCAAAAAAAAAAAAAAAAAGAGAAAGAAGGAAGGAAGGAAGGAAGGAAGAAAGGAAGAAAGAAAGAAGACAAACACAATATACACCAGAAAACCGAGGGAAAGAAGAGACAAACTATGCTGCCTTTCAAGCTACTGTGATTCCGTTCCCATCTATCGGCCTGGGATTCATTTTCAACATTGAAATACTCTTTTGGATCTCTAATATCAAGGGCAAACATGTATTACTTGACAGCATTCCAAACCTGTCTGTTGGGAAGATTTAAACCACCTGATTCTGTCTTCTGCTCCTGGTCTCATGTTCTTGTGCAGATGCATCAGAGGCCTGTGTGTGCAGCTCTTCCGGGAGACTGCATGATCCAGCCTAGCACCTCGATGAGGGTGAGCTCACCTTCAGCGTCTCCAGAGTCATGAATCGCAGTGAAACTCTTAGCAAAGCTTTGTGCTCCTCGTTAAGAAGAGCAGTGGCTCTCTGGAAAACTTGCTAATACTCCCTGAGCTAGCAAGGCGCCTGGGGCTTACTTGAGGAAGGTGGCTGAACACCGAGCTCTGTTCTATTCGCCATCCTGCTTGGGTTCCAAGAATCAACAATGAAGTAGGCAAGCATGGGGAGAAATTAGAATTGTAGACATGCCAAAGATATCCCTTGGAGCAGTTGTGAATATTGTGTTGTCATGTAAAAGAGCTCTTGAAAGATAAAGGAGCTAAGTTCAATTATATTACTGGTTCCATGTTCATCTGAATCACAGTCTAACATCAGACTTCCAATGATATCATAGTGCCTGCAATAATTAATTCACCTCTTGCTTCCAAAAACACATTGAAAAATTAATTCCCAGTACTAAAATGAACTTGGCAGCAGAACGCATTACAATTTTGCAGGTTACCTGGCAATCATTTTGAGATTTATCTTGGGTAAAATGTAGATCGGTATCTTCCCTATCGATGCAAACTGTCTGATTTGTGGGTTTCAATTTTTTCTCATAACACTTAAGAAACCCTGTTTGATGTTTTCATAAAGGAATACACGTTACCTTTCATAAACATTTATACAGATGCAAAAATATATTTTAACTACAACAACAACAATACTATTTTTTAACTACAGATAAGCAAGGATAAGTATGATACTTATAAGAGACCAAATTAAAATTAAACCTCATAAATAAATAAGTTGGAGGTAAACTTTGTTGTTATTGCATGGTTGTTATTGTGGTTGATCATGGGAGGTACCTACATAATAATTTAATCCCAGCTTAAGGGCAGCCCAGACTGCAGAAAGCTGTGCTTTCACCAGAACACAAACTCTGTGGATTTGTGGATTAGAAGCTAGGAACGACCATTTAGACACCACTCAAATCATAATCTGTAATTTATAATCTATCGACAACTAAGAAAACCAATTGAGTCAGAAAAAGTTACAAAGAATAAAATAGTAGGTATAATAAAATAGAGATGTTTTTCAGCATATTAAGGTTTTATTTTAAATGGGTTTTCATGTCTGCTTTTTTTGGTTTTCTTTTCTGAGTGAAGCTTCAGAATGTACAAATCCAGAGAGTCCAGATTCTCTTCAATGGGCTCTCACGTGGGCTACCACATTCCCAAGAAGAGACTATTTATGTGAATACTGCAGGAGAGAGGGAGAGAGGGAGAGAAAGAGAGAGAGAGAGAGAGAGAGAGAGAGAAAGAGAAGAGAGAAGCTGGATACAGCTGGCCCCTCTTTCCTTTGGCAAAGAACAGCAATGGCCTTACCATCTTTCTGTGTATGGCAACACAGACTACTTTATTTGAAAAGTCACTCATTTCTAAAATTGCAGTGGACATGTTTTCATCAACAGAGCAGTTCAGGAGGAAAAAATTATTTTATTAGCTAATTTTCCTTTCATGAATTAGGGATTTTTCTCTGCACAGAGAGAAACTTCAAACCCCTCCAGAAATGGAAGCATGCCCACGGACCGACTGCCGCAGATCAAGTTTCCAGTGGGCTAATAACCTGCTCCAGTGAAAACATATTTTTAATTTGCTTTTAGGGTTATTTATTTTTTTATTATTACGCTAAGGGTTTATAATTTAATGTCAAACATAATTTTGCACGAATTATGTGACTGTACTATGATGCAGTAGATAAGCTCAGTGTGCCTGGCTGGCGTGGTCTCAAACGATGTTTTTGAGAAAATGGATCACCATTTGGCAGGATGCCATTCCGTAAACTGCGTGGTAGAACTTTAAAAGGAAAAAGTTGCAGAGAATTTTCATGTTTTGCAAAAAATATTCCTAGTAATATTAGAAGCAGAAAAAAAATAATTACTCTCTTAATGCTTTCTATGAGGTGTAACATAAATTGTATGAAGCTAATTAAGAAATTAAAAGGTTTCCAACTAGAAATTGCAACCTCCTATTTATTATACATTGTCAACCAGGCAAGTAGAATAATATTTTTAAATGAGAATATTTGTTTAAAAATATAGTAGTCATCACAGTGTCTACAAGCTTTATGATCAGTTTGGTAAACATTTAGGAACATGGACAATGTTGCCAAGCATTTTCCTGGGAATGAGAGGTACAAAAATAAAACCTCTACAGCAACAGCTCTCAGGAACTTCACTGTCTAGAAGAAGAGACAAGCAGACACATATCCTGTCAATGTAATGCAGTAAATGCAATAATGCAGTTATGCAAAGGGTTCTCTGGGGCATCTATTCTCCTAGATAAGGAGTACTTGGTCCAGATTTGGGGATGGGGTGAAAGGTCAGGAAATGTCTGCAGGAGGAGGCTGGGAAGAGATTTAGTGGAAGTTGGAAGACAAAGAACCAAGAGAATTGACTTGCCAAATAAATGATGATTTATTTATATATTTGTCTACAAGTTTAAATAAATGTAAATATAGCATTGTATATCATTAAGCCATTTTCACATGCTTTAGCTACTCTGTTACTTACACTGACCCTAGGAGCTTAACTATGGAGAGTTTTAGTATATTCACTCTACATATAAGGAAAATAAAGCCCAAAACAGGTAGGTGCCCAGCCCAAGGTCACTCAGGCAACACATGCATTTGTAAGAAAGCCAGGAGCCTCTTTTTGGCCTTTCCAATTAAAACCAAAATGTCATCAAATTAATGAAATCAGTAAGAATCTCATCTTCATTTTAAATGTCATCCAGTCATCAACCACAAAGTCAAAATCGAATCATATAGCATAGGAAATCAACACTTATCTGTGTCTCTCCACTCTTAAATACAAATATTTTGGCAGATAACTCAGGGGAGACTGAGAAGTTAAAGAATTCAAGTATACAACTCTCCTGCGGGGCACAGTAGCTATACAAGTTATCCAGCTGGTCACAGGGAAGTTGCTACAAAGTTGGTTGGGTGACTAGGTTATTACTCCGATTTTGTCATTACAGTAAATGAAATAACTGAATTGCAAAACTTTCATAAATCATTTTTTTGTAAATTCATTGCTGTTACAGACAATGTGCAATAGTGAACAGTTCTACACTTGAGTCCCCACTCTTCAAAATACTTATTTCTGACAACAGAAGAGATGTGGATCCTAGATTAGACAAAGCATTAACTTGACCTACTATGATGTAATTAGTTTTCTTTTTATTGAAGAGTTGTATACCAAGCATGGGCTACTCTGAATCAATCTTTAATCCTATAGGACAGGATGATAAAACATTTGTAAAGCAAATGTTAGGTAAAGGAGCACCTGGGTGGCTCAGTTGGTTAGGTGACCAACTTTGGCTCTGGTCATGATCCCATGGTTCGTGAGTTCGAGCCTGTCATCAACCTCTGTGATAACAGCTCAGAGCCTGAAGCCTGCTTCAGATTCTGTGTCTCCCTCTCCCTCTGCCCCTCCCCCACTCTCTCTCTCTCTCCAAAATGGAATAAACATTAAAAAAACACTTTTTTAAATATTAGAAACCATTTCTTTCTCTCTATCTAGAACTACATTATTACTGGTAACAGTGACTTTTCCTATTAGTTGTCTACTTAGAGTACTTGGGTAATCTATTGCAACTCCTCTTAATATTTTCTAGCTACCTATATCCCTATCACATAAAAAAAAAAAAAAAAAAAACAGACTTCTCCAAAGGCTGTGTGAGTTAGTAATGTTAGCTTAGGCTGTGCAGCGATAACAAATACAGCACAGAATCTCAGAATCATTAAAAAGGTTTAGTGATTCCTCATACTAAGTCTTTTATGGGTGTGGTAACTTTTAACTGATGCCTCAGGGATTGGGCTACTTTTATCTTGCTACACATCAAAAGGAACAATCAACATCCAGGGAGGCAGCTGAGAGACCACACACCAGCTGATAAATTCATTTTACCTGGAAAAGATAACATTACTTCCCCTCACAGCCCATTGGCCAGAAGTAGTCAGATGGACATGCTTGGATTATGGGGGTAGGTGAATGGAGGAGAAGGATTGAATTTTCTGGAGACACTAAATTTCTCCATCATCCTGGACATGGTCCTATTGGCACTTATATTACTAACAGCTACAGAAAGTCTGACACGGTCCCTGTTTCAAACACACCACGATGTAGATTATGTGTGTATGGGTAGAATACGTATTCAGTGATAAATAATGACAGAGATAATATTTTTATGCAGTAATAATAACAAAATTACACCACTGCTTTGAACTAATTGGGTAGAATGGAAACAAATTTTCCCAATTATTTTGTTATGTATTCCTTCACTGAATCTTTACCAAACTCATATCTTCTGGGAAAGGAAAGCTCACTAAAATGTATCTGAAGCAATGACGTCACAAGCACTGGGTCCAGGATTTGAATCTGCTTTGATGTTACTCTTTATTTTAGCTCTTGCTATTTTGTCATGCTATTTCCCCAGGTGTCAATTGATTAGGACAGTGATCAATATCCCTCACCAAATCAATTAAACAACAATAACAACCCCACAAGTAGAAAGTCCCTTTAACACAAGGTTTCGGAGTCTCTTAAGAGCAGGAAGGTCAGAGCAAGGCTCAAAGGTAAGAAATCAGTCTGTACCTTAACGATAGTTGAATAAAGAATGGGCACTTACCTTAGTTCTAATTAGAAGTGAGAACTAAGGGAGCCAATGAGATAGGATTTTTAAATGCAGAAGGAATGAAGATTTGACATCTGTAACAGACAATATAGAGCATTGATTAAGAATAAACCTTGGCATCAGATTGGCCTAGGATAGTGTCTGATTTGCAATTAAGCATCCATGCCTCAATTTCCTTTTTCTATAAAATGGGCATAAGGCCTACCTCACTAGATTATTATGAAGATTATAGTCAAGGAATTAGCATTTGAAGTGTTGATCAAAATGTATGAGAATGTATTTTCCTGGAAGAAAAAAGATCTTGCAGGTTCTCAAGTCATACTATGTAGTATTATGTATAACACCCTCCCCTCTGTGAGACTGCCCAGATCAGTTTCGTATGTGATTTACGGGGCTTTTATGTGGATTTCTTGGTCATGAAATGAGAGACGCGTTATTATAGAATGCAGTGTGCCATATGAATCCTGCATAGCCCTGAAAACACGTTCTAAATAACACAACCAATATGAAACAATGCAAACCCACCAAACAGAATACACACTCAAAAATTTTTGACACAAATTCAACAGAACTAAAACCACTTATCTCATTTCCTACCACCTTCAGAAATTTTTCTATTGTATCCATAGTTGCTGATAACTTTGTCAGTCAATAAGATGCTCAAAAAAATTCATGCCCTAATAAGCCACTAAAAATCCAGCTTCAGGATATTAACCCAACTTAAATCATCTGTGTGATGTCAATAGTTTGGTTTTACGTAACACCATTTAGCATATTATTCCTGGTTCTATTCTCACAATGTAAATAGCCAGGTACATTGATTTATATTTCCCAGGTACTCAACCCTATCTTTTTTAGGTCATGTTAACATTAAAGTACATGATACAATGGAAGCCAAAATTGGTTGCATAACCACTAATAAAATCCCTGAAATGTGTATCCACCCTAAGTATAAACCTTTTGTTTTCAGCAGTGGACTACTTAAGTATTTTTTCCATTGCTTTTCAACTCTCAGAATAAGAAATGTGTGTCCATTTGTTTCAGGCAACAAACGGACAGCAATGGATACTGAAGTTCACAATTTATCCCAGGGAGGTAGAGCCTTGGTGGTGATGTCATGGCTATTTTCACAGTGAGCTGGGGTTTGGGGCCACCTCCAGATATGCTGAGGAACCATGCTGGATGGTACTTTGAAGATATTTAGCATTTCCTAAGTTCTGAGTAACCAAGAATGACTTAAAACGTAAGCTGAAATGAGAAAAATAAGTTAGCAGTAATGCAGATAGCCATCAAGGTTGTAAAGAAGACCCTCTCATCACTAAGCATTAGATTAGACCTTCCTTTTATAGGAATTTATAGAGTCAAACACTTATTTCTAATAACCGAGTAGAATCTGAAATATTTCAAGTAAGACTAGTATACCTACCATTTGTCTTTTGGAAATGGCATTCAATATAAGAAATTTTTATATGGGCACATTTAAATGGATGTTTCATATAATATACAAGGAAATAAGGATTGTAAAGAGGAGTCAGATACTACAGAACCAAAAGTCAAGAGTCCTGCATTCCAGTTACAGCTCTAGTCATTTTATCAAATCATTTTATTCCTCTGATTCCCAGTTATATCATCTACTAGATGAGATGTTTGTACAAGATGATCTTGTGGATCCTGGGTGAAAATATCAATCTCTACACTTACATTCAATGCTACTCTTAAACTAGTGTGTCTTTCTACCATGTACAAAATGCTTCCCAAAATACAGTAAACACTGGCCACTACAATATAGTGCACGGTGACCCCATAAAGTCTATTTAAAAAGCTAAAGCAAGGCTGTATCTTTGGAAAAACAGAATCGCACAATATAAATGAACAGATAATTATCTAACATTGTGCAATGGGAGCCATCTTAGTACTTGTCATTCATGGCAAGTTCAATCAACCATTTCAAATAGAGGTAAACCAGTTTGCCTTGACTCTACTAAATGGTAAGCCTGTGTTTAAAAAAGAGGGGGAGGGGGACGCCTGGGTGGCTTAGTCGGTTGAGCGTCCGACTTTCGCTTAGGTCATGATCTCGTGGTTGGTGGGTTCGAGCCCCGCGTCGGGCTCTGTGCTGACTGCCAGTTCAGAGCCTGGAGCCTGTTTCAGAGTCTGTGTCTCCCTCTCTCTCTGAACCTCCCCTGCTCACGCTGTCTGTCTCTCTCTCTCCTAGAAATAAATAAAACATTAAAAATTTTTTTAAAAATTATAAAAAAGAGGGAGGGGTACCTTTGTGTGAGTCATAGGGAACCAGAATAACTAGAGACTAACAATTCTAATTGTAATAGTTATTATTTCTTGAATCCTTATTAAATGTCATGTAGTGTGTTGAGAAATTTGTAGGTGTTATCACATGTAATCCTCTCAACAACCCAAGGTATTAGATAATGTTATTCCTATTTTACAGGGAAAAACCGACTCTAGACTTTTTATCTAAGGTTGTATTATTAGCATATGTAAAAGCTAGTATTTGAACCCATTTCTTTCCAACTTCGAAGCCTATACTCCTAACTACTGCCTTATTTATATATAACTTCCCTGTTGGAACCA